TACCGTACGTATACTTCCGATACAGTACGTACGTACGTACGTAAGCATCCGTTGCAACGATATCAGAAATAGAATACCTCGCACGGAACAAAAGACGTCAGTAGATCAGAATAATAAGAACCCTGTGTAGATTTAGTACCAAGAGCTACACAGGATCTAATCAGGTCTACTGAAAGCTCACTTCCAAGCGCGAGAATCTTAATCTTATAATTTCAATTTTCATACACACTTAACATTCTAAGAGTACACGTAATCTCGTGCAGGCGACCAAGTGCTTTCCCCCTGTTAGTGCTAGTGGAAGCAACAGAGGCACGAGGCAAGTCAGTGGATCCAAGAGCTTTCCCCCTGTTATTGGAAGCAATGGAGACAGGATGCAAGTTGATAGATCCCTTAAGAATGGAGACTAGTGGGTGTGGTGACGCTTCCCCCAACTTTTTCTTTTTTACATACTGGTAGTACTACTACTATTACTACAACAGCATCCTCTACTATCTAGCAGTACTATTAGTACCAGCTAGTAATATTCAGTGAGAAGAGGAAGAAGCAAGAAAGAAGAATGCATGAGCTACTACTACTACTAGTACTACTAGTACTCCTCTACTAGTAGTACTAGTATTATTATTATTACTACTACTAGTAGTAGTACTACTACTAGTACTAGTAGTAGTGGTACCATTACTACTTGTAGTAGTAACTACTAGTACTACTACTACTAGTTATACAATTACTAGTAGTAGTACTACTAGTAGTAGTACAAGCAACACCACATGTGTGAACATGTATTCAAATTTGCTCGCGCAACTTGTTGTATTGGTACTACTAGTAGTTTTGTTGTTGGGAAGAAAGCAAAGCTTGGTAGAAAAATTGGTCTGCTTCGGTGGCAGTGGAAGTCGAATTTATTTTCAATGTAGTCGCATGTCACCAGCATTTAAGCTGACATCTCATTCCCGTAACTTTATTGTTTTACGATGTTTCTTACAGTTCGAAACCCTACCAGCTCTATGACTGAAAACAGCCAACTGAGTACTAGTAGTACTAGTACTACTTGTAGTTTCTTGAAAATCCACCCCCCAGACCCCCCCTCCCCTTCGGGAACCAATTACAGTCAAAACTGTTTTAGTCTTTTTTTTAATGTTGCAGTTTCGACTTCCATGATTCTTGTGCATTGAAATGCTGATGCTAGTAGTGCTAGAACTTTTGGTAGTACTACTAGTACTATTACTGCTAGTTAAGAACTGTTACTGCTTCTTGTGCCGGATCGCATTCCCAAGATTCAGTGACATCTTGTCGGTTCAGAGCGGGAGTAAGTACGACTCACGTGTCCAACAAATTTTTGGTGAAAATCGGAACCAAGAAATATGCATCTTCTACCCTCTCTCGATCACATACTGATCCAAGACTTGCTTTTATCGGCGATGTATTTATTTTTAAGTGCTTCCCGCGAGAAAATTATCGCTAATTGGTGTTAATTACTTAGAAGTCGTTCGTGCTTCCTATGGTCGCAGACACGGGCAAAGAAGTCGTTCTCAAATCCCAGTCGGCCTACTACCACCAAAAGATTCTACGAAGTAATAGAATCCATAGAATCGTTATTCCACGCAATAAATAATAGGGTATCCTTGCGTTGTGGTGGGAGAACATCATAATAAATTAGTTGGAATGCTTTCACGCACCGTCGTTTACAAAAGCCAACGGCGACTTTAGTATTCGGTGGCCCGATAACAACGCAAAAACAACAAACAAAATGAGCGCTGCACCGTCTCCATTGCTCGGACTGCGAATGAGCAACTTTCCCCGAACCCCCGCCGCGGTGTCGGATAGATGCGGTAACACCGACCGTGTCAAGGCAATGCTGAACCAGAGCGAATCTACGTACAGGTGCAATGATTACATCCGGCGGCGGTCGAGAAAAGACAAGAGTGGTTGCCACGCCACGGTCGGGGAAGGAGCGTCGGACTCCGGCTGCCCCGAGCTCTCTGTCGAGCAGGAACAGCTCGACACCGTTTGCAGGGAAAAGATGTGCGAGTGGAGCTACCGGGTCTGCGACCACTTCCAGACCGGCCGCGAGATCGTAGCGGTCTCGTTTTCCCTCCTCGACCGGTTCGTGGACAAGTGCAGCTGCGAGCGAAGTGCCTTCAAGCTGGCGGCCATGACCACTCTGTACATGGCGAACAAGATATACGGTGGGCCACAGGCCATCAGCATCGGCGCCCTCGCGGAACTCTCCCGGGGCGAGTTCGAGCCGTCGCACATTTCTGAGATGGAGGTCATCATCCTGAAGACCCTGGAGTGGAGGCTCCACCCTCCCACCGTCCAGTGCTTCATCGATGCCTTTTTCCACTACCTCTCCCTCCCGTCCCACGGGGCCTGGTCCGTTGCCATTTACGAGCGGGCGACGTTCTTTGCGGAGCTGGCGGTGTACGACTACGCCTTTGTGCCCAAGCGGAAGAGCCTGATCGCCCTCGGCTGCCTGATGAACGCGATGGAGGGGATGGACAATAGCCTATCGGCGGAGCAGCAGAGGGGCTTTGTCGACGCCGTCAACGCGACCTTCGACCTGGAGTTCACGACCGATTCCATCGAGTCGGTCCGGAACCGGCTGTGGTACGTCTACAGCATGAGCGCCCAGTACAAGGAGGACGACGCGGTGGCGGGAGCGGAGCCGGGCGACGTCGTAAAAAAGTCTGTGTCCCAGAGGACCTACGGGGTGTCGTCCACCGCCGCCACCGACCTCTCGTCGTCGCCGTCCACGTCGCCGGTGTCCGTCGCTGCGGCGTCGGGGCCCCACCACATTGCTAGCTAGCCAGCCCACCCACCAACCAACGCAGCCCAGAGCGGACAAACCAGACCAGACCACGCCGAGGCACGACATGGCACGCCACAGCCACCCAATACAAAAACAGGGCATGCATCAATTTTTTACAGGAATCCATGCTTTCACCCCCACATACATCCCCATCCATACATCCACCTACACATACAAGAGAAGAATCCGATACGTAGAATAGTGTATCGATATCGACGAAGAAGAGTACCATAATGTATAATAAGTACCATTAGAAAAATGTATTTTTTCAAACTAAGTTCTCTCCAGGAATTGTAGATATCTCTTTGGTTCTGTACGAAATTTACAACTCCTGTCTTACTTCAGTTTGGGTTTGCTGGTGTGAGGCTAAATCCCGAGTAGCTAGTGAATAACCTCACTCCTCTATTGTAAACCACGTATTAACACGGTATGGGAGCCTACTAACATTTGCAGGTGAGAGCAAAGAATGATTCCTCGTCCGGTTTAGTAGTACTCGTGGAACAACCATTTGAATTCGTTGATGTTATAGAATGCCATACTTATAGCGAGAGAAGATGAACTTCAGTAAAGTAGTACTTGTAATGGATAGTGTGTGTGTGTGTGTTGTGGATTTTGGATTTTGTTGTATGTTGTTGTATGTTGTTGGTGTGAGCTGGAAGTAAAATTTATTCGAGGGACCTGTACAGGTTACCGTACAGTACTTTACTTAAAAGTACTCTATGGTTCCTCCTCTTATAGACGAAGAACGCTACATCCAACAAAAAAATTCACGAAAACAAGATTTTGTCTCGGCACCCTCGAGAGGAACGACACGGTGATGGTTTGAGGTTTGAGGGCTCTATGCGGATGCTACCGGTATGCATGCACCACCAAATATACCGTATGGTGAACAGGAGAACCGTACGTGCCGTAGTTCACGTAGTAAGTATGTACGGTACCGTAAGATTCCTCGGGAAACAAGGACACAATCGCCATGACGAACTCCAACACTACATAATCACGGTTTCCCACAACAGGGACAAAGATTGATTCGCCATTGATAAGAGTTCACGACCACAGCACCGAACAGAGCAAAGAGCACCAGACACACCACCCAAATGATGGAGACCGAGCAAGCAGCAGAGCAGCCGCAGCAACAGCAAAAGCAGCAACAGCAACTACTCCACAATGCGTCGGTCCCGTCTTCCTCCTCCTCCTCGTCGTCGTCGTCGTCGTCTCTGGTAGAAATCCAGGTCTTTGTTCCCCCGTCCCGGTCCATCGGTGGAATTCGGTACACCCCCGACTCTCCCGCGTGGCACTGCTGCTTTTCGAAGAACGGCGAGTGGCTGGCCGCGTGCTTCGGTGCCCCCAACCCGTGCATCCGTCTCTGGAGGCGGGAGCGGCGTCGGTCCCAGCAGCAGCAGCATCCACCGGCACCGGCGACGTCCAGCACCGCGGCCGTGGCCCCCTCCGACGCCGACGGCGTCCGAACGCCATCGAAAACTCCCAGGTGGGTCTTTCACTCCGCGCTGGAATTCCACGAGCGGACCATCCGCTGCGTCGAGTTCTGCCCCCTCTCGTCGTCGCCGACCCTGGCGGCCGCCTCCTTCGACGCCACCGTGACGATCTGGGAGTACGAGAAAGGATCGGACGCCTGGGAGTGCACGACGCAGCTGGAGGGCCACGAGAACGAGGTCAAGTGCGTGGCCTGGAACGCCACCGGGTCCCTGCTGGCGACCTGCGGGCGGGACAAGACCGTCTGGATCTGGGAGACCTTCCTGGACGGCTCCATCGGTGGATCGGGGGACAACGCCTTTGAGTGCCTAGCGGTCCTCGATGGCCACGAGGCCGACGTCAAGGCGGTCCGCTTCGCCCCGAGCCACGGCGCCTGGGGGGACGGCGACGAGCTCCTCCTGAGCGCCTCCTACGACGAGACGGTAAGGGTCTGGGCCGAGGACGACGGCGACTGGTACTGCGCCCTTTCCCTGGGGGACCTGCACGGGGACACCATCTGGTCGCTGGCGGTGGCCCCGGGGGGCGGCCGCGTGGTCACGGCGTCGGCGGACGGGGGGCTGGCGATCCTGCGGTGCTACACGGGCGCGGAAAAGGCCGGCAACGGCAACAACGACGACGACGGCAACGATCCGCCCCACGGCCCGCGGGGCGCCCTGGCCTGCGTCGGCCTCCTGGCGGACGCCCACCCGGGAGCGGCGGTATATTCCATCGACTGCGCCCCGGTCGGGGCCGGCCACGGCCGGATGGTCTCGGGGGGATCGGACGGCCGGCTGGCGATCTACCGCGAGGTCCTCCGGGGCGGGGCCTCCGCCACTGCTCCGGGCCGGCCCCTCTTTGCCCTCGATGCCTCGGTCGACGCCTCCGCGGGGGACGTGAACTGCGCCCGCTGGCACCCCCCGGACGGGTCCGTCCTCGCCTCGGCCGGGGACGACGGGACGGTCCGGCTGTGGCGGTACGAGCCGTAGCGCGAGCAAGAGCACCGCCTGCCAGGACGGGCGCAACCGCAACCGGCAACCACCAGAAGAACCACCACCACCACTACCCAACACAGCAAGCGCAACGCCCGGAGGGGTGCCCTGCCCCGCACACGCGAAGGAATCCCGCTGCCGCGCCACGCGGCAACGAAGAGAACGAAACGGATGGTACGTATCCATTCCGCTTGCGACGGCCGTCTCTGCGCAACGCGGTGCGGGCCGCATCCTTCCTCTCTGATGCCCCGATCGGTGCCCCTGATCGGGTCCCCTCGGGGGCTGCCGATGCGGCGTCCGTTGCCTCGGGGGATCGAATCGACGATCGTCCAAACCAAAGGAGGCAACAACAAAAACAACATCCGCAAGAAACGGGAACGGCAATCGGTTTCTTTTTTAAGATAAAATCCTACAGCAGTGTTTTCCCCAACCCATCTACTACCGTACAAGGTGTGCGCTCTATAGTGTTTTCGCTGGTCCAAGCCCCGCAACCACGCGCCCCGCTCCGCTCCGCCCTATCCGTAGGCGACCAGCGTCTCGTCGACGTCGCACAGCCACAGGAGGTCCGAGACGCCGAAGGATTCCGGGGACGACCACTCCGGGACGGCCTCGAAACCGAGGAGGGCCCCCAGCTCCTCCCGGTAGGCCTCCCGCTGCGCGCGGTCCGTCTGGGCAAAGACCCACACCCTCCTCGGCCTGCGGGGTTTGGTCTCGCTTGCTCCCCACGACAGGACGCGGTGGGTCAGCCTCGCGGCCCCGGCCGCGACGGCCCCCGACTCGAAGACGTCCGACAGGACAAAGAGGTCCACGTCCCTCAGCCACGACAACGAATCGTCGTTGTCGATGTCGTTGTCGATGTCGTCGTCTATGGTGTTGGCGTTGCCGCTGCCGCTGTCCTCTTCGGCGAGGCGCTCCCCGGTTCGGACCAGGTCCAGGACCCGGGTGGAAAGGACCCCCCCTCCGCCGCTTCCGTCGGCAAGGAGGCCCTGCTCTCCCGCCGCGGCAGCGACCAGGTCCAGGGCGAAGGGGTCCACGTCGGTGGCGATCACCCTCACGGCACAGCCGCCTTCCCCGGATGCTGCGGCCCCCGCCGCCACCACGAGGGAGGGGAGGCCCGGCCCGCAGCCCAGCTCGCAGACGGTCGGGGGGCCCTCCCCCGTCGCCGAAACGAGCAGCCCGCTGCTCCCAAAGACCCGGTCCTCCAGGGTGGCCGCCGCCACGCGGGCGGACGGCCACACCTGCGTCGCCAGAAAGTTGGTGGCCGGGGGAAGGCCGGCGATCGAGCTGAGGGCGAAGCAGTACGGGGGGGCGTCGTCGTCGTCGTCGTCGTTTTCGTTGTTGTTGTTGTTTTTCTTGTTGATGCTGTGGTGGGCCCGGTGGACCGGGAGGCCCCCCACCTCCGTTACGGGTGGCCCCGCCCCCTTGGCCGGGGAAAGGGCAACCGCGGGGGACGGTCCCCACCGGAGGGTCCCGTGCTTGGCGGGGAATGCGGAGACCAGCAGCAGGACGGGGAATTCGAAACACTGACGCCGCCGCAACTTCCTGGCGGGAGGCCTTGCCATGGCGAATCTTTGGGTGGTTGGATGGGTCGGGTTGGCTTGGCTTGGCTTGGCTTGGTGTGTTCTTGCTGTGTGCTCGCTATCCGGTAGGGTGGGGAGTTTTGCTCTCTTGCTAGATTCCGTTCCTCTTGCACAACATCGGAGTCGGTCGGTGTTGACTGGCGGGAAGCATCGGAAGATCCAGGATCGATCCGACGGCCTTCCGAAGGGGCACCAAGTGCCGCATAGGAACCGGGACTTTCTGGAGTGAGTCCGTCCGACACACCGGTTGCGGACGACGGAAGGACCGGGAAGACGGTGTGTATGTACTTGGCCTATTTGCTATTTGCTACTTCTATTTGCTATTTGCCCATGACCCCTGCTCTACCGTACGTACGGGTACGAGTACTCTACTACGGTAAGTTCTTTGTGCTTTTACTACCGGTACCGTACGTACGGTAGGTTGCGAAATACTACTAGCGTACAAGAAACGGCATGAATCAATCGATTCATTCAGTGTCGAATTCCGAGGCCGACGCTTCAATATTTTTAATACATAGACATCATAGTTACCAAAAGTACGTATCGTTCTCGTCCCGTACACCCCCTGCTTTTTGGAACATCGCCAAATTTTGTTCTTCGACGTACCGGTACGGGTATTATTTTTTCTTGATGGCAACGCAACGAATACGACAACAACAATAGCAGGAACAACAACACAACTTCGTTGGCACAACAATACTCTCGGACATCTAGATCCTCGGGAGAATTTCGGTGACTTCTTCCCCGCGGTCTGTATGGCTGGTTCGCGGTCCATAGGTTTCTGGAGTCGCACGGTGGAGCCCTAGGAAACGGGGACAACCAAACAACGTCCAGCCACCATCGGACGAAACAGGGAAAAGGCCACACGGGAGAGGAAACCGAAACTGAACCAAACCAAAGCCAAATCGCCATGAGACGAAGCGGATCGCGCAAAATGGACGGCCACCACAACCACAACCTCCGTTCCGACCACCACCCCTACGTCGCCAGCCCAACCGACGAGGGGGAGAGCCCCGAAGGCGGCCCCGAGTCGGGGTACCTGCCGAGAGACGGGGGCACCGGATCCCCTCCCTCTAGCGACGACGAAGGCGCCGATCGGGCGGAAGCCGGGAGGCGCCGGTGGGCCCTGGCCCTCTTTTCCGCGACGACCGTCCTGCTCTTTGCCGACCAGAACCTCATGTCCCCCAACCTGACCGCCATTGCCGAGGATTTCGGCCTCAGCAACGACGAGCGGGACCGCAAGCTGGGGGGGGACATCTCCCTCGCCTTTTTCCTGGTGGGTGCCCCGGCCAGCTTTCTGGTGGGGGTGCTGGCGGATTCCGGCAACCGCGCCCGGATCTTTGGGTGGACGGTCTTCGCCGGGGAGCTGGCCTGCCTCCTGACGTACTTTGCGCGGTCCTATCGCCAGCTCTACCTCTGCAGGGCCGTGACTGGCTTTGGCGTGGGCGGCGCCCTGCCGGTCATCTATTCGGTCCTGGGGGACCTTTACGGGGCCGGGGACCGCCACGTGGCCTCCGCGCTCGTCAGCTTCGGGCTCGGGGCCGGCATCTCGCTGGGCCAGGCGGTGGCGGGGTACCTCGGGCCGATCTACGGATGGAGGCTGCCCTTTCTGGTGATCTCGGTGCCCGCTCTGGTTTGCGCGGCGCTCGTCTGCACGACGGTGGAGGACCCGGAGCGGGGGGCCATGGAAACCGCCCGCGGGGAGGCCGAGCGGGAGGGCCTGGTGGCCGAGGAAGGCGGCGTGGCGCTGGTGCCCATCACGTCCCGGTCGAACCTGGTCGATGCCGACGCCTCCCACGACTACGTGGAGGCCCGGGCCGGTGCGGACCACGCCAAAAGCGGCGGCGGCGGTGGCAGCAGCACCGGCTCGTGGAGGGACCACGTCGAGAGCGGCATCGGACTGCTCTCGACCAGGTCGGTGGCGCTGAGCCTTTTCCAGGGTGCCCCGGGCTGTGTTCCCTGGGGCGTCATCAACGTCTTTCTCAACGACTACCTCAGCGAGGACCGCGGGTTTTCGGTGCAGTCTGCGACGACCGTCCTCATGTGCTTCAGCCTGGGGTACGCCCTCGGCCTCCTGGTGGGGGGTGCCGGGGGTAAGCGCCTCTACGAAACCGACCCCCGGCTTCCCTGCCTGCTGGCCGGGGGGACCGCGATCGCCGGCTGCTTCCCGCTGTGGTACCTCCTCAACGGAGTGGATTCCTCCACGCCCTTTGGGGTCGCGGCGACGACCGCCCTCGCGGCCGGGCTGCTGGCGGCGCCCACCGGCCCGATCGTCAAGGCGACGCTGACAAACGTGACCCTCCCCCGGGCGAGGGGGCAGGCCTTTGCCCTCTTCAACCTCTTCGACGACCTCGGCAAGGGCCTGGGCCCGTACCTCGTCTCCCTTCTCATCGTGGGGTGCGGCGGGAGGCGGGCGGCCTTCAACACCGGCGTGCTGGGATGGGTGCTGTGCGGGGTGGCCAACCTGGCCATGTTCTTTACGGTGGCCCGCGACGAGCGCGCCGTTCAGGCCGCGCTGAGCGCCGGACGGACCGGCGTTCCGCCGTGCTACTAGAATGCAGGGAACACATCCGTCCGACGGTGCTATAGTATAATTATAGTGTAGTTCTATTTATTGTATCCTTCAATCGCTATCACTGTCGTCTGCTGCCGACGCAAGCGCTGCGAAAAGCCCCTTGGAAGAGAATGCGTGATGGTTGTCGTTGTMGTTGTCGTATTCGTCCTCTTCTTCACTGCTACTGCTTTCGCGTGAGATCCCTCCCTCCACCAGATTTACACCGTCACGAATCTCATCGACTCGGTATCGATTGCCAATCTCCGACTGCATGTTTTCACTGTCCTGGTCGTTCTCTGCTCCTTTCGTGTTGTCCCGTTGGTTCTGCCGCTGGCGCCTTTTTTGTTTTCGGCTGCGTTTCACTTGTTGCACGGTTTCGGCGTAGCTCGGTTCCGCGGTTCCTTCCTCGTGGTTCGTCGTTTCCCCCTCCGGATCGAAGGCTGCCGCCTGAAGATCCGATTCGCGTATGTCTTTTTGTTTCTGCTTTTTTATTTTCCGTTTGTCTTTGATGATTTTCTTTTTGATGGCACAGCTGATCGGTGTCCTCCTCGGTCCCCAAAAGGCCGTCGACCTCGACTGCTTGCGGGCGTATCCAACCGGCTCGGATACGTCCTCGTCCTCGCCGTCGCTGCCGTCTTCCAGGTGGTTCTTCCCGGCCTTTTTGTACGATTCCACCACAAGGTCCCGGACGGCCTTCCCCTTTGCTTGGGACAGCCTCACCTTTGTGACATCGGCTCCCAACTCCCGCAGTGTTCGGAGTGCGTGCACGTGTCCGTTTTTGGCGGCGTGGTGGACGGGAAGGTTCCCTCCCCTGTCGGGGATCGTGAGGTCCGCACCCATTTTTGTCACCATGTACCGGAGTGCCTTGGTCTGCCCCCCCGCAGCCGCGGCATGGCAAGGGGTCCAGCCCACCGTATTGACAATATCAATGTCGACGCCCCTGACAACCGCGGCCTTGAGACCCGTCATGTCGCCCCGGTGGGCATACGACCAAATATTCCCCGTTCGTTCTTCGTACCTGTCGCCTGCTGTTGCCATCGTCGGGTTGTGTTCGGTTTGGTTGAATTCAGTTCATTAATAGGGCGTAAACTCGAAATTGCGGTGAATCGAGAAACACGGGAAGCTAAGCATCTCGTCTGGTCGGGGTTGGGTTTCGACTCTTTAGAGGATCCATGTTTCGGTTTCTTCGTGGGATACCACAAAGCGAACGTTGTGCTCGTCCTTTTTTGGACAGTGAGTCATTCCAAGGTGTCGAATCACAAGAGAATTTAGTAAAAAATAATGATGGATCAATGGAAAGCTCGCCTCGCGCGTTAGGGACTCGAATAATCGTGATTCAATTGCTTCCATCATCAACCACGCATCGACACCAACAAAAAATGCCGACACATACCGTACGGTAGGTACAATACGTATCCTACGTGGTCTAAAGTACCGTACGTCTAATATTGTTCTACATACTAGTACATACTAATGGAACCATACCGTACGGTAGGTTGATGGATGGAGCGATCCATTATTTGATTTTTTTGAAGATGTTAGCTGACAGCCGACGTCTGTCAACTTTCGACCTCAAACGACGCCTGAGATCACTTGCGAGTAGAAGAAGTCACTGTCATCTACATTTGGAAGGGCTAGCAGAAGACTCATTCTGCACTAGATAAACAGTGCGGTCCTCGATTCAGCTGTAGACAATGAAATTTGTTGGCTTCCAACCTCTATTTGTGATCCTTGCATTGATCAAAGAATCCTACTCTTTCACGACACGAGATTCCTTTTCCACAGGTTCGAGAACTACCATGTCCGCTGCGACGGAGACCGATGATGCTAACAAGGTGGAAGAGGGGAATCTCTTGGTGTCGCTTGGTGACAAGCTTGATTGCGATGCTACCAAAAACATGCCGAAACTCATCTTGGCAAGTCAGAGTCCACGGAGACGTGAAATTCTGGACATGATGGGATTGCGCGAAGATAAACAATACCTCGTAGAAACGTCGCCACTCGACGAATCCAAATTACAGGTAGAGCTTGGCAAAGAGGAATTGACTTCGATCGAATACACTCGTCGATTGGCAGAAGCAAAGGCAATCGCGCTGGCAGAGGCTCACGTTGCAGATAGAAAGGAGATGGGAGTCGCTTATTATCTTGGAAGCGACACCATCGTCGAGCTCGACGAGTCGATTCTGGAGAAACCAAAAGATGCAGACGATGCGAAGCGAATGTTGAACCTATTGAGCGGCCGTCAACACCATGTTCACACCGGAGTTGCATTGTATCGGCTCGATAGCACGAACCAGATAACCTTGGTAGATTCCTTTGTCGATACCGCGTGTGTGACGTTTACGGACCTCAGCGATGCAGATATCGATGCCTACATAATATCTGGAGAACCAATGGACAAAGCAGGATCGTACGGTATTCAAGGCATAGGTGGCCAATTTGTGAAAGAGATCAGCGGTGACTTTTTTGCAGTGATGGGTTTACCTATGCACAGGACTAGTAAACTTGTTGCGAAAGCCCTCCAGGCCGAATAAAATCTACGTATATTCTAACTTCGACGTCAGCAATGGTATGGTTCATTTATTTCTATCGAATGAAAGTGATAGAGAAAGAACTAGTATCGTGTGCATTTTCTTGAGAACGGGGATCACTTTTTTTGTATTTTTAATGACAAAGAAGCAAAGAATGTCATTCCATCACCCTATCCTAGTGATAAGTTAAAGAGAGTGCTTCTCAATACACAGTTCGTTTCGATTGCCATTGGCATTCCAACTTTTCGTCACCTAGTATGCCGCGGCGTCTCCGTGGGATTCATTCCCCTCGGTTTTCTGGGAAAAAACAATCGCTTGCCACCAAAATTCTCTTAATTCTTTTGGATTATCCTTGTATCGCTATACAACAAGTACAATTCAATTCAGGGTAGTATTCAGTGGAGTAAACTACAACATTCAAACCGATGATGAAACAAGTACGGTGCGGTAGAAATGTACGTGCTACATACTAGTTTGATCATTTGACATCCACTACAGAATTCTAAATTTGATCGTGATTTTCTAAATCCCGTCTCCAGGTGTTTCCTCATGAACAAATCTCATAGTATTGAACATACGAGAATATCTTACATACATACGTGGTCATACGTTTCACGACGGAGCAATCATGATGTGTTCTTTTCAACACAGATTCACTCATCAACACAGCCCGCCATACACATTACACATGCGCTGAGTATTTTACAGTACGAAGTCGTCGTACTCGATGATGTGTTTGCCTGTCATCTGTTGGGATGCAATCTGTTGGGATGCAAGATTTGATCTCATTGTGTATTCCGCGATCGGCAACACCTCGTTCGACTGAAGGCTCACACTCCCATTATTGTGCTCTAAGCATCAAAACTCCTTGATAATGAAGTATTCCGTTGGTCTTGTTCTTGCATCACTTATCCCCGCTGCTTCCCTCACGAGGGAGGGAATTGGCAGGAGGGATGCGATCTCGGCGGCCGCCTCTGGTGTGGTCGGAGGCTTTCTGTCCCAAGTACAGCCATCCTTTGCGGCTGGAACCCCCCCAACCAAAGAGGAGTTGGGAAGAATCGTTCTCGGCTACAAACAGATCACTGCATTGCTGGAAAACTTTGAAGAGTCAACAACAGTCTGTAGAGAGAACGGAGGAGAATGCAAGCGTGACGCAGAACCAATCCGTGAGTTCGTCGATTTTCGTCCACTCTTTTGATGGATAGCATGGATGAATGGCAATTTCTGGTTTTATTTACATCTACAGAAATGCATGGCGATTCATGTCCTAATTTCTGCCCCCTTTTTTTATTTTAAAATTTTAGGACGGGTCCTCGGCTTGCGCTCGACTACAGACCCTTTGTTTCAAATTGAAAAGGTTTTCAATAAAGTGAAATACATGGATGATGGTGAGAAATTATTTTTTTTCGTGATGCCCGGCTCTGAGTGAAGTTGGAAGCTTACGATTGGAGATCTAATTTTTACTGCTTTATTGTGTCTACGATTTGAATTCAATTTTCTTTAGATATTGATTTGGAAGTATTCTTCGAGGCAACTGAAGATTGGAATTCTGCCATGACCTTGAGTAACAGTATGGCTTTCATCAGTCAATTTGGGGAGGTACGTTTAAAATCAGTTGTAGTGAAGCATAGTTTTTGGGGGCCGATTGATAATCTAATCATTGTAACGTTCAATATTTTCTATTTACCTGTTTCGACTGTGTTTGCACCACAAACGAATCGCGAAATTAAAGTACAACCCTGGTGGTGGTGTAGAGGAAGTATTGAAGTACCTCAACGAGTCCAAGAAGGCGGTTCTTGTAGCTCAAAGTGCGTTGAAGCGAATCATTGACACTTTGCATCTGGAAGGGGTCTAGATAGAGGTCGTTTTCTATAATTCCTCGAGTAAGAGTACCGAAACCTTGCACCATTCTCTATACAACGAATACTGCTCGAGGGGAAAAATATTTTCCCTGCTACCTCAACTTACGACTAACTAACAACTTCTTACGCCCAAGAATGACAGTGTGTCGTAGACATAGTAATGCCCAACTTAGTTTCGTTAGCAATTGATTATTTATTTTTTCTTAGCGTTACTCGTGTATGAAATTCAATATGATCGTAAACTTATTCGAACTGGCTTGTAGCGTAGAGAGCAAATGCAACCTGGCTTCCGAATCCTGCAGCAAATCGCAATGCATATCGGCAAGCATACGCTCCGCCCTTCGAAATGTTCAGATCTCCAAGATATTCATCTTTCACTTCATAGTTTGGAACAGGTGGGACAGTCTGGCGCATAAGTACTTCCACAGCGGTGACGTCCTCAAACGAAACTCCCATTGGATGACCAGTGTACCCTTTTGTATTCAGAATCAACAGCTTGGAGAGGAGTTTATCTCCGAAGGCATCACGCAAGGCGGCGGCCTCATTGCCGGAGCAGCTGCTGGCACTGGAAGCATGGGTACAAGTCTCGTGAGAAAAGTAAACTCCATGAGTTGCGATTTCTGCCTTGCTGATGCCATGGATTAATTCAATGTCGGTTAAGAAACGCTTCAGTTCGGAAGCAATGTGCTTTCTATCGAGCGCAGCACCGTGGAACGCGGAATTCGAATATTGTGTCGCAAGCAACCTTGCTTTAATTTCAAAAGGATTCGGGGAGTTCTTTTGCCGTTCAAGACTGCTCAATTCGGTTTCTAATACCAAACCGATTCCACCTGCACCCATAATCATACCCGATCTACGCTTATCGAAAGGAAGGGCTGCGTCCTTAACAGCGCCCTCTGTCGTTGCCGCACCGAGTGCCCGGAACCCGGAACCCAACCATGGGAACAGAGTGTCACCAGATGCATTGTCACCAGCAACAACCACAACACGTTCTGCTCGTCCAGAGATAAGCATATCCTGTGCCATGGCAATAGCTTGGGTGGTTCCGGCGCATGCTGCATTGGTTTGAGTATTGGGACCTCTGCACCCTGCCAGCTGAGCGAGCTGAGCGTTTCCGAGGACGAGCACTCGGAAAAGGAACTTGCGGTCGAATACGTACTCTTGGCTTTTCTCTCCATCCGTTTCCCCGGCTCTAGCCATGAGACGGGCGAATGATGCTTCGTCGTCCTCGGAAAGCTCTCTGTCGGGAGAGGAACGCAGCATGCGGCTCCTCAGGGCGGTCACGAGTCTCATCGTCGGAGCCGCACCCACCGTCTTCGATTGTAGAAAGCGCATGACTTCACCTACGGCTGCATCCATAGCAGGAAAGCTCGAGGCATAGACAACTCCTGTGCAGTCGCGATACTGCTCGGGAAGCATCCACTCCTTTGAGTCATTCGATTTTCCACTGACCAAGCCTGCCGACTTCAGTGCTTCCATACCGGCTGCAACCGCTACCTGTGCGGCAATGTCCATAGTTTCCGCAAGACCCCGGGGCACACCATACGATGCCGTCAGATCAAAGGAGCCGAGCATGCCCGCAAGCTTGATAACTTGCTCTTCGGTATCTACCTTCACACGTTTGGACGTTCCGTCGGGGAACTTTTTCACCTGCACAACATTCTTTTCGAGGAACGCCATTTTCAAGCTGCCACTGATCGGATCAATGCAGTTTTCTGCATTGATCAAGCGATCCATGTTTTTGGGAGAAAATACTGCTTCATTTCCAGGTAATCCCGCAGCGGTACCCGTAATGACACACGCAATCCGACGGCGAGCCTCGGTAGCCTTGTCGGCATTGCCCTCTTCGGTCGAAGACAACACCGCAAGTTTTCCGGTCACGGGATGGGACATTTGATCCCTTTCTGCCAAGCGCATCACAATTGGAGGAGCCAAAGGCGTTCCGTGTGGATCCATTTTAGCGTCGAGAGGAACTCTAGAGTAAGTTCTTCTCCACGAGGAGTCAATGCCGTTCAAATAATAGGTTCCCGGAAAAAGCCTGCCTACAGTGGGGTAAACAGGCGAATAGGGCGATCCGGCACGGTGCATGCGGGCTCTGGTTTCCAAGGCGTGATCGAGTTCGCTGGGGTGAACCTTTTCTCGCGATGCCAACCGTTCCATCAAATTGAGACTGTCCGCCATCTTTTGGATCGAGAATCTCGAAGAATAGGGTTCACGACTGTTGTGCAAACAGACAAAAAAGGATTCGCATTGGTGAGTTCATTCGCATTTATTCGTGCTAAAATCGCATGCGAAGCGTTGCGGCAACGGTTCTTGTTCCAATCCCATGGCAATCGAACCCGAACCCGAACACAAACATAACCAAACCATAACTTACACAGAGAGTCGGTACATGGTTGCCAGAGCACCGGAACCGTATGAAAACACCGCGATGGATTTCCCAACCGTCAGGTCTCCCCTTCCACCGGCACGATCAATCAAAGACGCCAAACCCAAGAAGACGCTGGCGGTATACGTGTTGCCAACAAGCTTGCTGGTCATGTTGGAATCTTCCAAGCGCTTCTTAAAGTCGGCAGCGGATTGTTTCTTGAGGATGCCCTCCAGGGCCCTGTCGGCGTAGGTTTCTTCGATGGGTTTCGACAAGAGTTCTTCCCCGAAGGCCTCGTCCACTTTTCCAGTCCGTTCGAAGCGCTTTCTGGCATCTAGAAACATGAGCCTGCCGAAAGACTTTTGCACCAGTTTGTTGTACGGCGCATGAAAGACGAAATAATCGTGGCTTGTCGCGTCGAAAATATCGCAGTCGGAACCGTCGTCGGTGCYTGTTTTTTTCTCCTCCGCTCGGCCGTTGCTGCTGCTGTTTGTGCCAAGCTTGTCGCAGAACCTGGTGTACACGTCTTCGAGTGCGCGATAGTAGCAGACCTGGGACAGCTTTCCGTCGACGGTCGGGTACTCCACCGTGTGGTCCGGCTTGAAGAAATCCCAAACGTTTGCGGCATGGGTGGCCCGATCCTTGGGATTAAAGACGATTGGTGCGTCTCGCCCCACCAGCACGGCCACGGCTCCTGCGCCGGACGTTGGGCGGGCACCCCCACGGGCATAGGCCGCAATGTCGGCGGCCACGACAATGGCGTAGCGTCCGTCCCATCCATCGGATTCCACCCACATGAACGCATTGAGGAGCGCGGCAGTGCCTCCGTAGCAGGCGTTGACGACGGTTGCTCCCTCGATGTTGGTGTTTCCAGGAAAGAGATCCATAAGGATGGTCTTGGTGGACTTGGACTTGTCTACAAGGGTTTCGGTTCCCACCTCCAGGCGGCCTACCTCGGACGGATCGATCTGATATCTTCGGGAAGGTTTGGTTCGGAGCAATGCACAGCAGTGCGCAAGAAAGCGAGTGAGCGAAAGGCAGATGGCGAAAGAATAAAATGCTCACGCACAAAATGATAATGCAAAGAAAGCGAGAGCAAATCAAAACGCATTGCATCGAACCTCAAGGGATGAATGGCTTGCTGTATCGTTTCATCCTTTCCATTGATACGGCATGGGTATCTGTTTCTCTGCATGTTCATACAAGGGACAAGTCATGTCTGTCGACTCACTTTTCGAGGAGGGAGTGCACGACGGTCAATGCCAGACTGTTGACATCTTCGGCGTCACCGCAAATTCCGAGGCCCTCTTGGCCCAATCCGAGGGTGTATTTTCCCTTGGAAACCCCTGAGTGTTCTTCCAGATCGGACTGGGTGATATAAGTAGATGGCGTGTAGACTTCCATGGCGAGGATTCCGACGTTCTTGTCGTTTTTCCTTGGCGACGACGACCATGAACGTCGGCCTTCCGAATCTTGGTCCATCAGGGAGGAGCTGGAGAGTCGCTTTGCTGCCTGGAGTCCGAGCGCTCCAACGGCGGCTCCAACCGCCAGCGCACTCATGCTGTTGTTGTTGCTGCTGCTGCTTGAAGAAGACATCGGATCAATCTCAATCTCAATCTGGTCTGACCTGATCTGATCTGATTTTCTACGGCACTTTTCTTCTAGGTAGATAAAACGTCCTGATGATATTATGGGCCACGGGTGATTCCACAAACACAAACGAGTACGAGGACCGGTACGAGTCTCCTGGCATTTCTGAGACACAACAGAAGCGTTCAAAAAATCCACAAATCCCAGATCGTTCTCAAAAATTCGAAAAGAATTATAACAATTCTTAGCTACGGTAATTTTCAGTACAATGGCCTACTGCATTTCTCGGCGAGCAATGCAATGCCTCCTACACGTCGATAGTAATTACTGAATACCTGCGCTACGGTCACCAGGGCAGAACAACAGCGCGCTCTTTCGTACGTAAGGTATCATTTTTTTGCTACCTTGCGGAATAGCGCGAGACACCACGACGACGCACTTTTCCTTTGAACTCACGCCACAACGGTAATATGTGGGTTGTGAGGAAGAGTACGACATCCTCGGCATCGGAGCGCCCCGATCGCGTATGGTTTCCCGCGCCCAAATCTGATATGCACGACTGAAAAATCCCTCGGAAGGGACCGTGAGATCCTGACAACCATCCAAATATCACATTAACACTACGGAGCAAACTCGGAAACCAACTCGGAAACCAACAAACAATCCTTCAAAAACCACCAGCAACACACCTAATCGCACAATCTTATTGTTATAAAAACAATGAGCGATTCCAACGCACTACCAGTTGACAACACCTGGTCTGAATGTTGACCACGATGCAATCACATCCATAGTCGATGAGAAGGATGCAACGAAACAATGGAACGCCATGGTAGGTAAGAAGACTCAGATTAAGAAAGAGCAACCATGATTGTGTTTGTACCTGTGCGTGTGCGTGTGCATGTGCATATTTCTTTCTTGGCGCGTACCTGTTTCACTGCCAGTGACGAACACGATTCTTCGTGATGCCCGAAAAGGACAGAAATGTACTCTTTGGCACACTTTGTGAACGATTATCCGAATCAGACCACAATTTTCCGAGGCACACACAGTACGAAGACCGTACTTGCATGCACATTACTGCGAGCACCGTAAAAAAGTGCTTATGCAGTATGCCAAGGATAAAAGAACCATTGTTTTTGCTGTTGTCCACTGGTTGCTCTACTAGTGCACGGCTTTTTCACGGAACGAACGAGTTTGTTCGGCACGGTCTGTGGGTCGCTTGTCGCCAATGATACATTTTAAAGTTTGAGATCACGATGGAACACTATTCGGCCAGTGATTGATGGATTTCAACACTGTGCTGTATGTTTCCGGCAATGAGTGACAACATAACCTTTGATGAGGCAGGTACCCACGGCACGGAGCGCTTGAGTGCCTTCTACCCAATCCAAAGGAGCGAAGGAAGAAGCCGATAGTGCTGGAACTCCGTAGTCCTATTGTCATTTCTGCGTCACGATGAACAACCATCAACGCATTTAAAGCGATTTCGGGATTTACCCACTCCTTCTCTCTGGTATCTCACCCCTCGTGTCATTTGTTCCTTGGGCGAAATATATCATTCGATGTTGCAGCTTCCGACGATAATAGGATAAAACGATTCACTATTCGGGAAAGTCCAATCTTGCCTTGCACGGTACAATACCATCAATCCAAGCATAACTAATCATTATCGTTTTCGGGACGACCCATTGCGAAAATCCCGTTATTTTCTTCGCAAAAAGGTATGTAGATGACAAAACAATGTTTAATCTCGTACCATCGCATGTTTGAGATGTACTTTATTGGTCAATGAGGATTCAGTTTTATACAATTGTCACTACTTCTTAATGTTTACGTGTGGATGACATCATACTGTTGCCTTCCTTCCGAGATCAAAAATAACTTCATGTCGAATCGCTTCGCGTAGCGCCTCGCATCAATTGCACATTTTATGTTTCTAACCCAGCACATAATCTTTCTGTGTACTTCGTCTCGCTAGGTTCTTCAGAGCCCCCAAGGAACTCTTCGACATATTCTTGTCGTACGTAATATCTTCAGGTATGTGGGTCGTCACAATTCCTAGCGGGAAGGAACCAATAGCATTTGGTGTAAAACTGCATGTCAAATTCTTTCGATGACGAACATCAAGGATCCTGAGTCTTGAACTGAAGATTTCTATTTTTCCAATTGATACTCCCGAGATTGAATAGTTGCACTCGTCTATCATAAAAATGTTGTATCGATTTGGACAGTTCTCTGACCTGCCACCCTTGTCTCGACGTGGTTGTCTTTTTCGTTGTCACGATCTTAGGTAGGTTTCAATGCACGAAGGACGAGCCGTTGATCCGATCATTGACTGCCTTGTTTCGGTGAAGAACAAACTCCATGCTAATACTGAATTTAGGTGACGAGTATTTTCTCCAATTGATTCTGAGAAACAAGACGGTTTGTGTGATTGCCATCGAACGAGTATCATGGGTTTGTTTCCAGCGTGTGGTATTGTACTTCTCACTGTTGTGTCAACCTTTTGTTTTCTCAATAGCAGCCATAGGGCATAACTCCTTTCAAGTTTCGGAGAGCGACCCAACGAGGCCCATTGTGTGCGTTTATTGGGAAACTAATTCTTCGTCGGAACCCATATGATACGACGCGGGATTGCGTTCCCCCCACAAATTCCTGTGGATATCTACACAAGGCTGCGGTGCTCCATTGAACCATAGCAACTGCATTCTTTCAGCAAATTGAGGAGTTTGCGAGTTATTTTCCCAAAATACTTTTTGTTCATAGCAAAACTGGTTGAAGATAACTTTAAAAAATTGTTTTTAAAATGCTCCTATCAAACTTCGCCTATTTGCGTCCTCATTCTGTCGAAAGTGTGGAGAACTCGCCCTGGCGTGTTAACCTTCAGAAAAAGTCATTTGATACCCTCAAGTACTTGGGTATCTCGAAGTTAATACAGCATGATGCTCCGATCTTTTCTGAAGCAAAGCAACAGGTGATCTTTTCTGAAATTTGTTCAATTTTTCATGTCAGAAAAGTGTGTGTGGGATCTTCTGTTGTGCGCGAATTTATCTCTCATTTTAGGGAGAGCGGGCGAGAAATATTAAGATTTTTTGTTGAAAATCGTGAAATGTTGTATGGATTTTCGTCTGGGTATCGGTAGTACGAGTTACTTACGTACTTACGTACTCCGTACCTATCGTAGCTTAGTACACTAATTGTACCGTCGCAGATTTCGTACGTTGAAGGTACGGAAGAATGTGTCAAAATCAAAACTGAGTTTGCCAACCGATGATTTGTTTTGGAAGCATCGAAACGTGATCGTTCGTTGCCCCCGATCGTTGACACAGTAGCAGCGTTCCTACGCCTATTCTTTTCCAATACCGGCGATGCAGATCAATTGTTGAAGAATGTATGTTCTACTCGTTACAATCGCCACCCTTCTGGGATTTTCTTCGTTCTCTTCCGCAGCAGCGTTTGCATCGCTAGGGCCAGCCAACCAAATCGGAACCAAGCGTGCCAGTATGCCCTTGCTTCACCGGATGCCCAGCAGACCTCATCTGATGGTCCCGCGCGGGGGGGACCAAAAAGTCGAAGACTTGGATGTCGACGAACCTTTGGTAGAAGAACCATCAACAGAAGCAGAAGCAGAAGCAGAACCTGTGGCGAAGGTGGCTTCAACGAAAGTCGTCGCCGCGCCCTGTGTTATCTCCAAGGTGATGGCCACTCTCACCTCCGTCGGAGCATGCTACTCTAAGCAGCTGGAATCGAGACCCATTCTTACCAAGAGTTATACTGCGGGCCTCATATTTGGTCTTTCTGATTATTTCGCACAAAAAATCGAGAGTTCCAACGATGTCAATGGCTCCAGTAGTAGCATGAACTGGACTCGGGTAATCACATCCACTTTGGTGGGTCTTCTCTACTTTGGTCCGGCAGCCCATTATTGGTACGAATGGATTTTTAAATTGTTACCAGGCACAACTCTTGCATCTACACTTTATAAGGCTTTTTGGGGACAAGGTACGACGATCGAAGAAAAAATATATCGGGTGTAAATTTCAAAGAATGATTTTAACTCTTACCCTTTTCTTCCTGATCTTCGATTCCAGTCTTGTTCGGTCCGTCCTTCACTTGCGTCTTCTTTGCGACTATTCTTATGCAATCTGGCAACTTTTCCTTGCAGTCATGGTGGCAAAAGATTCGAAGCGATCTACCAGGTGCCTGGCTTGCAGGAGCGGGTTACTGGCCAATTGTAGATCTACTAAGTTATTCCATCGTTCCAGTGAAATGGATTCCCCTCTTTGTCAACATGGCATCTTTTATCTGGACCATTTATCTCTCATTGGTGGCAAACAAAAAGAGTTCTTCCGCGTGACTACGTCAAAGCGAGATGTCTCTCGGTAGCTATACGCACTCGTGGAGAAAAATTATAGTTAAAGTTGAAAGTATCAGAAGTTTCAAAAGATTTATTGGCAAACAGCATATCCTACCTCAAATGACATAAATTTAATGATACGGGCGCGATTTCAAAGCGATCTTAAATGCCTTCGAATGTATGTCGGTTTAGCTTAACTGGATCCAATTCCAAGTATGCCCATAGTAGGATTCTAATTTAACGATGACGTTTTATCTTTCGTTTGCGTTTCGCACTTAACACTTGGGACGGAGAAAAGCCAAAGAACTTAGTATTGAGGATGATAGATGATGTGCTGCCCACTACGCTGATCATGATATCAGTTACTACCAAATCATGCTCATCTTTGTTGGAAAAACCGCTCAGTTGTCCTCCGGTTTCAATTCATTTACACCGACCTGGGTGAGAACAAAAAATAATGCAAACGAAAGCTAAACTAGTTCCATCTAATTTTCTGGTTCGTGCAAAAATCGTTTCAGTCGTGTTTTTGCAAACGCTCAAAAGGACAGAGATGTTGCGTAGAAATCCTTTGCGTTCCGTTCTGTACGGTACTATTACTCGTACTTCTGCATACTTCCGGGTCGACCATCTTCTGTCCCAATTAGCTTTTTCACCTTTTCGACGCGTACGGGTGCTACGGTACGGACTCCAACGGGTTTTCGTATAGTACAACCAAGCAAGTTGTCGTTGAAACAGAAAACGGTTGAATCAATCGGAACAAATTCAAAACTACGGCATCAACGCAGTTTTTTTTTTCATCGTTAGGCATCTTCAATCCTGTTGCAACAAGACGAAAAGTTTTCCCACAAGTCACAATACTAAAGAAATTTCGTGCCAAACACCATTGGAATAGTTGTCGATAAAATTAATTTCGTCATCTGTCACACAAAAGAAATCAAAAGATCAAAAGCGATAGTTTTCACCAATACGAGAAGATTTTTCGTCGAAGCCTGAATTGAAGTGCGGTCATTCCAATAATAATTTGGATTTTTTCGTTCTCAAACCCATTAGGCTTTCAATCAATCTACAGCAAGGATGGAGAATACATTCATACCCCAAGCAATCGAAATTGTTGGGAAAGCAATCGAGGCTGATAATGCCGGGGAATACGAAAAGGCACTCGGCTTGTATCGAGACTCTCTGGGACGATTCACTATGGGACTGAAATACGAAAAGAACGAGGCCCGCAAAAAGCTCGTTTTGGAACGTGTGGAAGGTTACATGAAGCGCGCCGAAGAATTGAGAGATTATGTTACCAAACAGAACGAACTCGACAAAAATGGTGGCGGCGGATCGGCTACGGCAAAAAAGGGAGACAAGGAAGACGATATGGATGCAGAAAAGGCAAAAATGCGGGGTGCTCTCGCTGGTGCCATTGTTGAAAAACCAGACATCACGTGGGATGATGTGATTGGACTTGACAATGCGAAAGATAGTTTGAAAGAGGTAAGCATGCTCCTCTCGATATCCTTGTGCATTGTACGATTTGGAAATTTACATCAGATTCTCTCTATTCGGTTTCTCATAAATTGCTTTGCCACTTTTATTGCTAGACCGTAATTCTACCAACTCGTTTTCCTCAACTCTTCACTGGAAAACGAAAACCCTTCAAAGGAATTCTCTTATTTGGTCCTCCTGGAACAGGTAAATCGTATTTGGCGAAAGCCGTTGCGACCGAGGCAGACTCTACGTTCTTTTCCGTCAGCAGTGCCGATCTCATTTCGAAATGGCAGGGAGAATCTGAAAAGCTTGTTCGGAATCTTTTTGAAATGGCTCGGGAGTCGGAAGGAGGCCGCGCCATTATTTTCATTGATGAAGTTGATTCACTTTGTGGAAGTCGTTCCGAGGGAGAGTCGGACTCGATGCGTCGTGTCAAGACCGAATTCTTGGTTCAAATGGATGGTGTAGGAAAAAGCGATTCTCGGGTCTTGGTACTGGGTGCGACCAATATTCCATGGGAACTAGATGCCGCAATCCGACGTCGATTCGAGAAACGCGTTTACATTCCACTTCCGGAGGCCGAAGCACGAACGGCGATGGTAAAACTGAATTTGGGTGACACACCAAACGAACTGACAGAAGAGGAATTCGAAAGAGTCGGTGAAATAACTGACGGCTCGAGCGGAGCCGATATTAAGATCCTGGTCAAAGAAGCACTCATGCAACCATTAAGAAAGTGCCAAAAAGCCAAACAATTCTACGTTGATAAAGAAGGAAATTATCATCCCTGCGATAGATATCCGAACTGCTCTGCTTGCCCTCCCAAGCTGTCCACCGACAAGCCAGGAAAAGATTATACTTGCAACCGTTGCGGAGCGAAGCGCATGTCACTGTGGGACGTTCCAACCGAAAAGCTGAAAGCGCCGATGGTTCTCTACGATGATTTCAAGAAAGTCATGAAGAGTTCTGTCACTTCTGTATCTCCAGAAGAGCTAGAACGATTCAAAGAATGGACCAAGCTATTTGGTCAAGACGGAGCATAGTGATATACACGTAATATTTCGCATGCTCTGCTTTCGATGCTACAGAAAACCCGTAAAAAATCTAGACTTTTTCAATTAATTTTGTATTGCGATTGTTGAAGGCATTTAGGACTCCAAAGTAAGTGATGCCATGTTGGGATATGTGCTCGCAACACTGCACTCGGACTTGTGTCTCCAACACACATTTCTAATACTGATTGCATTGAACTAGGAAAGCCGGTCTCTTCTCAACAGCCAATCGATTGATTCACGTTTACCACCACTTTATTCGACAGTCTTCGTCGAGTGTCAAACTCGTCGGTGCAATCATGGAAATGCCGTGCACCGCATCGGGGCTGCCGAGAATGTTTTGGAGTTTTGGCGCCTCCGAGTATCCGCGCTCGCGGTACCAGTCGTTGAGTTTCCCACTGCCGTCGTCGTCGACCACGAGCACCGTGAAATCGATGTTCTGGATCGCGTGGATGCACCGGACCACCTCGAGGGCCAGTGTCCCGACGTTCCGTCCCCGATACTCGGGCTCCACGAACATGTAAATGATGGCCCCGATGCCTGCCAGCTGCTTGACGCCGTAGAGATCGTCGATCGTCTCCTGGATGGGCTCCGCGGGCGCCCCCCGCTCGGTCGTGAACCCGAACCGCCCGATTTTTACCAGCCTGCCGTTTTCGTCGTGTGTATGCGCCTCCAGCAGGGCCTGCCCCCCCTTGGGGCACAGGGCGGTGGGGAGCTGCTTGCGAAAGACCATGCAGTCCAGCCGGATGGCGTTCGCCGCGAACCGCAGCCACAGCCGCCGCCGCCGGCCGGTTCCGGCCGGGGGCCGGAGCTTCCAGACAATGTCCTTGTGGCTGAGGGCTGCCGCTGCTCCCTCGCCGCCGGCGTCGTTGTTCGGAACGGAACTTCCCGCCAGGGCATTTCCGGCGTGTTTCGAGCGCCCCGATGGCCACGCCGATCTCGATTCCGGCGACGAGACCAGCGAACCCCTCTGCCGTGCTCTCAGGATCTGGGATCGGGTGCGGAAGCGCTCGGAAGGCAGAAATGCGTCCAGATAGAAGACGGACAGAACCAAAACGAGGATTGTCAACAAAACGGACTGCATGGTGAATGGTGACTTTGCGTTGTGATAAAAATGCGATAGTAGTCTTTTCAGCATGGATCACTGTAGAGGCCGGTCGGTCGTCTCCTGATTTCGTCGAGAGTTTCCATCTGTAATGGCGTGGAGCAGCTGTAGTCCGGGCCGCTCTTGATTCGATTGAACTGAAGTTGAACGAAGCAACTGATTTGATGCCGAGAAATCTCGGACAGTATGTTCTCGTAGTCGTCGTACCCGTACGCTAAAGAAAGGTTTACCTACGTACGTGTGTAGATAAGTATGCGCAAGTAGATAGTAGGTACGAGTACGGTTCTGTAAGGTACAAGTACTCGTACATTACTGTAGCTGACTGATAGTTGGAGGCTCGACTTGACAGGAAAGGGGGGGGGGCTATGAAACTAATTTTTTGTAACCACCTCAAGTAAAAGCATAGTCGTGCCCCCATTCAATCCCTCTTTCTTCCTTCCCTCTTTGTTCGTAAGAAGCGCAGCAAGACTTGATTTCCGTTTTTCGCACGATTTGAGGGAGCTCCCTTCCGATGTGAACGGTACTGTACGTACGACTTCGTACGTACAATGTTGACTCACCGCACAAGAAAAGAGGCCTCACGGGATGCGAACGGTAGGTACAACAATCGGAAAGCGGGAACTGAACATCATCCGGAGGAACAGCAGGGATTGACACGGGAAACCTATCGGCAACGGAAACAAAGCACAGTACAGCACCGCACGGCACCGCACCGCACCACGAGAAGGGATTAAGCACCGGGCCACCGAGCACCAGCGATGAAGGACCTGGAAATTTTCTTGGAGATTCTTAACACGCCTCCCCCGTTCTCGTCGAGAGACGGCGACGACGACAGGGCTGCTTGTGAACGGTTGTGGGACGAATTCGACGAGGCCAAGAAGGAAGAACTCGCCGGTGTCTCGTACGCCTACTGGATCGTTCGTTCGAGGGCAGGGGACCACATCCCCGCGGGTGCGAGACAAAACTCGGCCATGAAGGAAATCCGGCGGCACTACATCGGGGAATCCAGGAACTACGCCAGGACGCTGGCCGTGATCCGCGAGGCCCTGGAGCATCGCCGCAGGTACCGGTTTGATATAGTTCGTTCCTGTTGCTTCGAAGACCAGAGCTATGACAATGACAGCGACGCCGAACTCGCTAAAAAATACCGATCGTTCATCGTCAGCGATCTGGAGACACAGCCCATGGTAGTTCGTGGGGTCGACGCCGACCGCCGGACGATCATCTATAAACCTCCAAGGAATTCACCGGGCGACGCCGAAGGCTTCATGGTGACGCAAATCTACACTGCGGAAAGAGCCATGGCAACAAGTGAATTCGAGTCCAGGGCCGGGGAAGAAAAGCTGACGGTGGTCTTTAGCTTTCGCGATTACTCGAGTAAAAACTCGCCGTCGACCTCTACCATGATTACACTGGCAACCTTGATGCAAAGGTGTTATCCCGAACGCCTGGGGGTCTTGATAGTGGCCGATCCACCGTTTTGGATGAGGGTGATCTTCAAGGTTGTGTGGCCCGTTCTATCGACGGACACCGTGAACAAGATCAAGATGCCGTCGGGCCAGGCCGCCATCGAGGAAGAGTTCAGCAGAGTCGCGAAGGGCAACAAGGAATTGGAAGGTATGCTGTCGAGCGGCGACATCTCGTCTATTGATGTGACCGACTACGTTCGCAAGCCATTTTATTCCCAGTATAAGTGAACAAGTAACGTAGAATTTTATCCAATCCTTGGGTATTCCCAATGCCCGTTTACTTTATCGTGTTTTTATAGACTTCCTATGTCCTGGTGGAAGAAACTATAGAGAAAGTCCAAGCGGTGTTGTTTGTGTCAGATTTGGGTTGAAAATTATGGTTGATTTTGCCAATACAGATACAAAAGTTCCAAATCTAGAAGACACAGTGCGAATAAACAACTCACGTAAACAGTTTCTGCCCTACGGAGGGACCCGCCAAGGCGCGAAGCTGATCTCGGTTCAGGGCTATCAAATCTGCCAAGCAATCGCATTCGTGCATGATCTTGCGGGCAAGCTGGATGGTGACCCCGGGGAGCTGGAGTAGCATATCTCGTCCGGCCTCGTTGATCTCGTCTTCTTCGTTCTCCTCGTCACCCCCTTCGTCTGTCTTGTCCGACTTGAGCAGCGATTCGAGGGAGTCTTTTTTCCCAACGTCGACCGCTTTCGCAACATCCACTTCCTCGTGGTTCGCCTTTAATGCCTTGAAGAGTCTCAGGGTCTCGTGGGGGCTCCTCGACCAAAGAATGCGAAGTTTTGGAAAGTGAGCCGTAAGGGTCGCCATTTTGCAGCAGATCTTTGGCCAAAGGAAAAAAAATGGGTGTTAGAAACTCTGTCAGATCGAACACAGGGTAATTGGGCCTAGCTCGACATGTCACTCCACTTAATTGTTCAATTTTTCTCGAACCCACCGAATCTATTTTTATATCCATCCCAAGATCGTTGGGATTCTGGAGACAGAAACTCTTTGCCGGATCGAACTCAATTAAAAGGCACGGACAGGTGTAATATTTCGACATTTGCTCCGCCTGGTTGTATCTATTTCACACAACGGATAAAAATCACAATAGATAGGAAATAAAGATTCGTTAGGGAAAATTGAATGTGACTTAATCGAATGATGATGGACAGTTTATTCGATATTTTGATCGAAGTAAAATCGGAAGAACGTACAATCTACCGCTTGCGAAACTACCAAATAAGTCACTGATGCTCTTTCGTTCGACGCAGTGCACATTGCTCAGTACGAAATCTCCAACGAGCAACGTTACCGGAGCTATTCGCATCCCCCCTCTGTGTAAAATGCTCGGCAAGGCGGACCGGAATTCTCTAACATCCACCGCAATATCGCGTTTTTCTGCCTTGGATTTCCCAGCTCCCCTTCTCGTATCCATCGACAGGGGCAAGCTCCCGTTGCTGTATGTTCCCGCAACGCTGCCGGTCGCTAGAGCATGCTGCATTTCCTGTGTGCCCTCCACCTGTATCACCGGTGGAGGCATCGTCTTCTTGTGGTGAATAAGTCTTTCGAATGCACTTTGTTCGCGCTCCAGGGCTTTAAGAAAAACCTTTTGCTCGGAACTTGCCGCAAACATCAGAAAATAAACCTTGAGGCGATTTTCTTTTTTCAGAGGATTCAATGCTGCAAAGACTTCCACAGATCGGACGAAGCTTATGTCGTAATCGTACAAGACTACATAATCGGGGTTCAAATCAGCGAGAACTAATCCGACAGCAGACTTATCAATTCCCGATAAGCTCTTGATGACCACTCTTGGTTCCTCAATAAATGACGGTTGGAACATCGTATTGAATATTATATCTTCCTCTTCCTCTTCCTCCTTCAACTCCTCCTCGGCGGTCTTTCGAAATTTTTCTAGGTCTTGTTCCGTCTCTTCTACTGCTTCCTCTAAAATTGCCTGCCTTTCCCTATCTTCGTTGGTTCCAGTCATATCTCGTCCTCTGCCCTGCTCAACAGCAATCCTGCGTCGCTTTCTGAGATACTCTGGAACCTCGTTGAGTTTCCTCGCTCGGTCCTTTCCATTTTGTTGAGGTTTCTTTTTGTGTCCCTTGTTTCCATAGAGAATTCTCCACACTCGACTTTCTTCCTCTAAAAGAAGACGACTTTCTTCCGCCATTTTTCCATTGATGATCGACCGCGATCGATCATTGCACTGCTCTAGATACTTGTGCCAGCGCAAAGTCTTCCAAAAGATCAACACAAATCAGATTGTTTTACAATACATTGCAATACGAAACAAAGATATCAAAACCAGACTCACCATCGTTCTATCTCTCCCATCAACTAGAAACGACTTGACCGCATCTACAGTTCGCTCATCTTTAACAACAACTAGGATTGTTGCTGGTTGTTCACGAAGAGTACTCGATTGCTCACCCTTGGACTCGATTTCTTTGATCTCCAACAAAACGTTTTTCAGGAGTTTCCATTTCGGATTTACTTCCAACACAGGTATCAACTTACCCACTGGATTGGGTATAGTTTCTGTGGGTTTTGGACGATGAACCTTATAGATTCGTTCTTTGGCACGTCGAAAGAGCAAATCTGCTGCGGGTGTCAACAGCCACATCGCTGGGTGTCTCGATGCCGCACTCATGGTTTTGATTGAAGAGATCAGTTTCCAAAAGCTAACACAGTCGTATTGTATCAAGGACGCAAAGAGGGCCCTCAACGTTCTCAAGTCCTGAACCAGCTGTTTGGTTTGTGGTTTCAGACGATGCCAGTCCTTTTCCAATTGCCTAGAAACCGCGCGGTCAAAGGCTGAAGTGACACAGTTCTCAATGGAAAGATCATCGCCTATCCACTCGAGAAAAGGTGTTGAGCTTTTCAGTTCTTTCATGCAGGTCTGGACAGCTGCAACAATGGCACTCTGAATGTCCTTCATGGAAGGAGATAGATCTTGATGAAGCTCCTGTACGTGAGGCGTATTTTGTTCCAATTCTTTTTTAATGGAATCGTGAAATCGCGGATAAAGATACAGGTGACGAACCTGGAGTGCCTTAAGTGTCTTGTCAATTTTGGCAAATCCAGAGAGCAAATATTCGGGGTTGTCAGTAAACGCCTTGATGAAGCACTGATCTCTTCGCTTTTGACTCGTGTAGATCCGGATTATGAATGCTTCGGTTGAATCGTTGTTTACGTGATCCGCGTGTCCTATCAGCATGCCATCTACATCCTTCGATGAGAGAGTGTTGTCAAGTAAGTCGACAATCAGTATGCGAGATGTTATACAAAATACACCACCCCGCTGGTACATTTGCATTCGATCCTTTCCTTGTCCACTCTCGTTTGTAATGATGGTCGGCATCATCTCGTCTGGCGTGCCCCACGTTTCCAACATCGCAGTAAGCGTCTCGTGTTCGTCGTCGCGCAATCCTAGGACTAACACGAGAGGTTTCTTCGTTGTCTTGATCCGGCCAGTAGCATCCTTCTCCTCTTCTTGAACAATGGGAAGATGGCCCTCCTCGGTGTCTGCATAGAATCGAACGAATGCGGCCATAAGATCCAACCATCCAAGCCCACTACCAAATATCGCAAGTCCATCTCTGTCGTAGATATCTCCAAAAGCAGTGGCCAAATACGATGGTAAAAGGCCGTCTGGTATCATTGATTCTCCATTGTTCTTGCGATCGTTTGCGTCATTTGTTCGAGGCATCCTCTTTCGCCATACGTTCCAGTTTCAAAAGTGGTGCCAATAACTTGACGCCGAGACGATTTCTCGATTCTTTTCAACCCTTCAGCTCGCTTTCTTCTGAGGACCATCACGAGTCTCTACCGGTAATCAAAACCTTGATGGTCTAATTTTTCCATTTTTCCCGATTTTTCCGACTAAATAAAGTAAATAATGAAATTAAATTAAAATTTGTGACGAAAATCATGGAAAAGCTCAAGAATTTTTAATAGTTTCAATATTTTCGATTCCTCTTTTACTATGAAAATGTATGAAAAATACCCAAGGAGTTTTCTATTTGTTTGATATTGTTCTTGTAAAGCACACTTTTTTTCCTGGCAAGCATGGCAGATTACCCCTGTACTTAGAGTTGTTGATTATTTTACCAGCACCAGCAACTTGTTTGTTGAACAAAATAGTAAGAACTTGCTTGAAAAACTGATCAGTACATGCCAAAAATATGGCAAATTACTACAGTTTACTATCCCATCATGCCTAATATATTCAGCAGGGTATTCAAATTTTGAACATCAGTTGCAATGTTTTTGATTGATCCAGTGGTGTTGAGCACTAATGCTGAAGGCTTTTTCCTCCTTATACTACTACTAGTACTACTAGTTCTATTTCAAGCAGGAAATGTAAGTTTGATTCCTCCTCTTCAACCATCTTAGTATGTCTTTTCACACTTAGATTTACTATCTTAGATGGAGTTGGGATTGTTTTGGGGCTACCCTCAATGGTCACCACCAACATGTCACTTTCTCCACAGGGGGTCAGGGGGTTGAAAAGGAGCAACTGAAACAGAGGTTCATTGATCAAAGAAGATGGTGACAAAAAATAGGTATTGAGGTATTGACATGTTAATTCAATCTTATTTGATGCCTTACTTATCTTGTCAGATAGCTGTTTTGTTAGCAGTTTTGTACATGTCTGGGGTCTTACAGGACCTCAAGCTTACTTCAATAAGGGGATACATCATCATGTAGAAATAATATAATGTCAGACCCAATCTAGCAAAGACTAATTTTATCCCATTTTGTATGCCTTTCCTTACGCAAACCAATATTTTTTCATCTGTGATAACTCTAAGGATCGCAACGATAAAATTGATAAGTATAAAATCATTTTCAAACTGTTTGTAAAGCATCAAATACGTTTGTAACTTTCCCTGATTCATTGACAAGTTCCAAGGAAACCATCATTATTTCTTTTTCGATTTCTTCTTTTTCTTTTTCGACTTGATCGCCATAGACAAGTCATCTATGTCTGTCTCTAATGTTGGTGTTTTTATCTCTTCTGTTCTCTTTGCTTCCGACCCGACAGTTTTTGTTACGGATCCAAACTCACTAGTCAGGGTCACTGGCTGCTCTTCTTCATCGTCGTCGAGGTCCATTCCCGCAGAAGTTCTTGTCTTGGAGGCAGAAACTTTTTTGTTCAGTGGAGCAGCAAGCTCAGAATTTTCAGTTGTCGTGATTGTTTTTTCTTCCTTTTTCAAACCCTCGCTTGCCTCTGCCATACCATCGGTATCTTTTTGGCTCGGGCCATTGCCTGTGTTATCACCACCAACTTTGTTGGCTGTTGCATCGGAAGCTTGGCCAACCGACTTGAGCATTGCAGCAAGCAGAGATCCTGCTTGGTTTCCAAACTTTTGCCCCGCACCCCGAACGGCATCGCCGTCTTCCCGTACTGAAACCGGCGCGTGTCCAGAAGAATAATCGAGTGCGTTTTTGCGGTACGCCTCTTCGGCCTCGGTGTCAATGTGTTGCACCTGAGCTTCGTCGACCTCGGCATCAACCTCCATATCGTCTTCGTTTTCAGTTTCTTGCAAAAACGGAATGTTTCGATCCGCCGGTGGAAGCGGGGGCAAACTAGGAATTCCTCCGTTTTGGTTGATTTGGAGGCGTTGCAACCTTTCTTCTTGGGCCTGTTCGTCTGCTTTTGTCAGAGCCGTTTCGAGCAATTGGCAAAGATTCTTCACGGCAGTTTCCGCAACCTTCCAGCATCCTCGGAGTTTGTTGGGGGTCAATTCACAACCTCCACCATAATCTAGCAAGCAAATCTCAGAGTGCACGTTCATGGCAATAGTCAAGCTCCCGCTCTGTACCAGTTCCTCTCGGTCGGTGGGGTCGATCAAGGCAGCCACAACCGAAGTCGACGAGGTACTATTCACTGCATCGTCAGCAGGTATCAAACCAAAAGATATCGATAGAGGAGTGTGGTGGAGCGGGAGAGGAGTCGCCTCCTTGACTATCGATGGAATCATGGTCGGTAAAGATGCCACGTTGCTAGGCTCATATCCCTCTGACTCGTCGTCCTCGGAAATATCTACTTGTGGTTTTCGGTAATGCTTGAGTGCAGCCATGGTAGCCAGAACACAGGCATCCAGAATGTTTCCACCGGCATCCAAAACCGTCAGGGCCACTGTGAATTTCCACACCCATTTTCCCGCCTGCAACACGAGTGCTTCGGTATCGAGCGCCCCTCCGATCAAAACGATTCGTTCGATGCACCTCAGGATCCGATTCGACAGGAGTCGCTGGTATTGGTCGGAGTGATTGGATCCTCTCACAGACATCGATCCACCAGAAGGACCCGTGCTAATCGCCGGTGCAAGCTTGAACGAAGAACTTGCCATGGGTGAAATGTCCACCGTAAAATTCATAATGCCTTCGTTTGGACGGTCTGGTGAAGGGGGTACCAATTCGGCAGAACACAGCGACGTGACTCGGGTTCCGGCACCCCATTGCACCGTGCATTCGGCCCCATTGTCCCAGCGTCCCAATTGCATTCGCACATTTCGAACATCGTTACCCCTGCGCCCATCGCACCGAAGCATCTTGTTGCTATTGTCTCTGTTGCTGTGCTCATAGTCGTTGTCGTCTTCCTCGCCAGGATCGGCATTCTTCAGCGCACACGACCGAAGGAAATCACGTTCGTTCACCGAAAGCGATCGAATGCCAGTGTCATCGCGTATCGTAATGTAAGAGGAACTCATTGTTCTATCAACCTAATCGATTCTGTTTATCAAATTAGAATGCTTATAGTCAAACAACTGGCGGAGCAATTCCTTGCCAATTTGCGTTGTGATTGTCACGGTTAGGAATTTTTCCAGAGAAAAATCTTGCAAGCTTTTGGTTGGTACGAAGTTGACTAGTACGATGATGGCTCCATCGAACTCTGCTCCTGAATGGAACGGATGGCGGATAGACCTAAACGACTTGATGAACTTTCATCTACAATTGGCAGTACTACGGTACCGGTACGGTGCAAGAACTAAGTGATAGCCGAGGTGGGAAAATGAAAAAGAATTTAGAAGTGAATGAACACAACCCATGTGGCAATTTGATGTTTCGAAGCTACTAATAGTAGGAATGCAAATCTTTGATTTGTTGTCCACTATGTTCGATATTGTTGGCACCAGAGTTAATTTCTAAGCAACAACAACAACAAGGAGAGAGAGGAGGAGGAAGAAGAAGAGGACGAGACAAGAAGAATATTCTCACAAACAGACCACTGGTGGAACAACAAGAAGTTCCAACTCTCCTCTTCTCAAAGGCACAACATAAATACAATTGATTTTTCATGTTGTGTGCAGACCAAGTTGAAATCAACACATTTTCCACCAAGTATCTTCCCTCCTGTAATTTGTGAACACCAGTTCTTGAATTCTTGTTGCATTCTTGGCAATTTTAATTGGGAATTCAGTTATGTACATTTCTTCCTTGTGACATGTTCAACCTTGATGTGAAATTTTCGAGCCGTTTTCTTGAAGACAACATCCAAATTTGCCCCTTGCTGGAGAGCTTTGTGAAGTGAGCTTGATCCCTTTTTTGAGCTTCCTTCTTCAAGTAGTACTAGTAGTAGCTCTATCCATTTAACCTTGTCAGCATCCACCACACATTTAACAAAATATCCATCAATGTTGATAATTTCACAATCCTGGTACCCATTTTTTAGTTTTGTTCTCTTGAATGTACAAATGATGGCTTCATTTGCTTTAGATCTCTTGACATCTGCTGTAATCCTTTTGGAAGATTTTGTTCCACCTGCAACAACATCAGCATCTGATGCAGCAGTTAGTAAGCAAGAATATTTCTGAAAATCTGGCATGTCTCTGTATTTTCTTTTCTGTCTATCTTTAGTTTTAGATTTGAAGCTTTTATTACAATTGCGTGATCTAGCTACCTGCAATTTTAAATTCCTTGAATGTGTTGTTTTAAGAGACTCAGAAAATATGCTGTCATTTTTTGAATATTTTTCTGTGTTTATGTATTTTGCATAAGCAATATTTTCTCAGAGTTTGTCCCAAGGATTTACAATTTTTCTTGAATTGATCATTTGAACATCATACTCTTCTTTCAATCCATTTGTTGTTCTTATATCATCAAGAAGCTTCCCCCACCAGACTACATTATTTTAAAAAATTTGGTTTGTTTTAAGTTCAAGAAATGTGTTGGTTTTTTCTCTACTACACAGATAGAAGCCCTTTCTCTTCATCAAGAGTGACTCTCCTCCCACTGGTTTGAGTAAATTGAAGTCACCCTGAAAGATACTAATGGGAAGATTACCATATAAGTTAGCTATTGTTACTACTACTATGTAAGGACTTATTACATAAGAACAAGTTGATATACTTGTTCAATGTTTCCAACTGTTTGATGCTATCAAATGATATCTCATCAACAATGGTGAGAAGATAAGTCTCATTTTCCCATGCATCTTCCTGTGTAACGTCAATAGATCTGTCGCAATTTAGACAGCAAGTTTGATGTACTGTTTCCTGATTGATGTTAGCTGCTGCTGTTCTGTTGGAAAAGTTCACTCCCAATTCTGCACAAATGATCTTACAATAATGTTGCACAGAATGAATTACTTTTTATTTTCCTGTACCACCAGCAATTGCTGCATGTTATCATGGTTGATTGGCAGTTTGTGCATTTATTTGTAGTAGAGGTAGAGGATGCAGTCAATAATTGCATACATTTTTGTTGACATGATACATTCTGCATATTGCTTAGTAACAATATTTGAATTTTTTTGCCTCTCAATGGGTTACTCATCCCATCCCAAATAATATCCCAATTTGTAGCTCACAACAGGAAATGTGCATCACGCAAAAATTTTTGTCCTTGTTCAGTTTTTTTTTTCAGTAAGCCCATGCATCCAATGGTCCAAATGCAGATTTTGATGCATCAGATTTTCCTGATGGTTTCCATCAGAGAAGATCTGTAATTGTTATTATAATTACTTGCACAGAGGCCAGGATGCAGAAGTCATGTGTTTGCACAATCAATTACAAACTCATTCAAAATGGTATCACCATCAGTTATCTTGTTTGGAAAAGGTGGATCAACCACATTAGATGATGATGCCATGACCCACCAGATCCTATTGTATAGAGTTGACAGAGATTTTCCAGCCGTGTCATTTGCACATTGGGTATGCTCTACTATACATACATGTATATTGATAAATGCCACTGGGACCCCCAACTCCCCCATATGACTAGAATTGAGTTTAAACTGTGATTTGATTCATGTGCTTACCATGCTTAAGCTTTTGTTGGGGACAAAGTTATAGCTGTTTGAGTGAGTTGAACCTCTCTTAATGTTCTATAGAACAATCAGAGTCAAATGAGTAGGAGCAGGTATTACAGGAGTGACAGCAACATGGGGGGAGGGACACTCTCATCATCTCTTTCACTGTCAACAAACAAACTAGAACTTGAGTAGTACAGTTGTTTGCCAATATAGTAAGCAGTGGAATACATGGTGGAGTTTGATGTTTTTGAAAATTGCAAATTTTGGATTATGAGATGAGGAATGAGATTGAAAATAGTGCAAAATGAGTGCAAAATGAAGCAGTATTGAAAAATTCAAGGGCTAGCTGCAGGTATTGAAGGTATAATCACCATTCTTGCAAAAATTTCAGCTCTCAAAATTGTGAGCTGGCAAAAAAATGAGAGCCAAAATTTTCAGTTGCCAAAATCATCACACCAACCAGTCTTCTTCCCAAATTTTCAATCTTGCATGCTTGGTTGGTTGAGCCTGTTCCAATACTACTTCAGGGTTCACAGAAAGTTCTGGTTTTCCTATTGCCTCTGGTGGTGCTACTAGTTCAAAATGTTACATTTTTTGAAAAAGTTAGTGCAACTGACTTGGGATTTTTAGTACTTCTGTTTTGATGGTTGCATGGCCTGCGACTGAATTTGTCATGATGTCTTGAGAATGGGCTTCTCTTTTTTGATTTTGAAATGATGAACCATGATAATTACTCCTCATTGGTATAGTAGCAGTTGTCACATTTACCAGTGGGCCTGGAAGCAAGGTTGGAAGCCATCAATAAGAAGTTCTTGTTATACTAGAGGCCAGTGGCATTGGATTTGGCCTTAGCTTTTGCTCTGGCATTGGAGCTGCTCTGCTCTGCATCACTGGTGCTCCCCAACTTTGAGAGGAACTGGTAGCATTTCTTGTTAGAGGACCCACCAAAAAGGCATCAGCAGCATCTTTGTTACTAGTCTCACCAGTAGGTACACCACCATGCTGCCCATCATAGCCACCATAGTAGCCAAAGGTGTCCCCATTACTTTTGTTGGATGCACTGGGATTGCCCAGGTCATGACCATAGCTCTTCATCTACTACCACTAGTACTAGCAAGTCTTGGGAGGGATTGGGTTCTCTTTTGTCTTGGAACAACTAATTATAATAATGACTGAATATCCAGCAAGTCATGGGTCAAGGAACTACTTGGTTCTTCTCTTAAATTTTGGAATGACCAATACTGAAAAGGATTGAACATTCTTCAAGTACTACAAATTACTAGTGATATTCTTGAGGGAATTAGGTTCTCTTTTATTTTGAAATGCCCAATGACCACAATGACTCATTTTTTGAGTCTTGGGAGCAACATGGTTCTCTTAAATATTGGAATGACCAATGACAACAATGACTCATTTTTTAGTCTTGAGAGGAATTGGGTTCTCTTCTATTTTGGAATGGCCAATGACAGCAATGACTCATTTTTTAGTCTTGGGAGGAATTGGGTTCTCTTAAAGAATCTTAGAATGACCAATGACACCAGTGGCATTTAGTGAACTAAAGTCTTGGGAATCTTGGAATTACTGCTTAAAGTGTTTCTGTCTGAACTCCTACTACTTTTTAAAAACAATAACCTGTTTTTTGACAAGGTGCTAATTTATTTGCAAAAAATGGGATACTGAAGTTTACATGGATTCAACACAAAAATCAAGTTTCTTTTTGTTTCTTTGGTAAGTCCAGAGCAGTGAGAATTATCAAGGCTACTGGCTTCTGAAAAAGTTTATGTGATACTAGTCGTCCAGTGCACCACCGTAGCCAAGTTTTTCCCTTGTTCTTCTTGTTCCATCCTAGTATGTCCCAATAGCACCTTGGTGAGCCCTCTGGTAGTAGTAACTTCCTTTACATCTCTTGAAACAAGAAGGAGAAAAAAGATCTGTTTATCCTTGTTTAACCTCTTGMAATATTCTGATTGTTTCCCTCCTTGTTCTTGTTCTCCTTCTTACTACTACTACTAGTCTAGTAGTAGTAGTAGTAATTGTTGTTGTTTTTCTTCTGGTTGGTTGCTCCAAAGAGAATTGCTTGCTGTTCTTTTTCTTCTTGTTTCTTACTGATGTTTCATCCCTTTGTTATTCTATGAGTTACATAAACAGTTTTACATATTAAGTTACTACTACTACTACTACTACTACTACTACTACTACTACTACTACTACTACTACTACTACTACTACTACTACTACTACTACTACTACTACGACTAAGAACTTCAACAAATGTCACAGTAAAAATTCTTGCAGTACTACTAGTAGATACTTCAGAGCTATTTATTTTGGAAGTGTGTAAACATGCTCCAAAAAATGACTTATGGTTGGATTAATTCATGATTGAATGGCTGCTACTGGATTCACTTGCAACCATATTGTTGTTTTGATTCATACATTACCAACAAACAGAACATAGTAGTGCACCTTGCACAAGCAGAAGTTCATGACTTCAAATTGAAGTTGATGACTTCAACTTTCAAAAGGTGAAGTACTAGTAATAATAGTAATGGCATAAATTTTAGAACAAATAGTATATATATAAAGAACTGATTTAGACCAATTCTATGCTACATGATTGAAAAAGAACAAGAAGAGGGGGAACGATGGAGGGAAAAATCTCCTTGTTGAAGAAAATTAGTGTTGCCAAAATTGCTCATGCTGCTCTATAACTCATCATCTGATTTTGAATCAACAAGCCCTTCTCATTTGATTTTGAATCAAACAAGCAGCAATTGCTACTTCTAGAAATAGTACTAGCACCACAGGCTTGTTGTTGTTCTTCAGAAGAAAATACATGACATTAATGATCATAGTGTTCTGCCCCTACTAACAAGTTATCATTTGCATATTGCAAGAAATGAAAAAGCTTGTCATTTCCAAAATAAATCAAAGTCAGATTTGGGTATGTTTTTTAAAGGAAGACTCAAACCCTGGTTCATCACATATGTTCAAAGGAATTTTTGAATGGAGGAGTCCACCAGATAAAGGAAAAGAAATATGAGAACATTTTGAGTCAACCAGAAATAGATTCCAATGATTCCAATTGTACACTCCATCAAATTCTAGGCTCAGATCTTCCATCAAATTCTGGTCTTTGATCTAGGCTGAATATAAGTCAGAAGGAAGGGGCTGTTAGGATTGTCTTCAACCACAGGGGGAGTTACTCMTAGTAGTAGCAAAAAGAGAACCATATTTATATTTAGAATGTGAAAAAATACTCGTACATCTCTGCTTGTGGTCAGACTTCTTAAAATTCTCTTTTTCCAAAAAAAATGATTATTCAAATAAATGGAATGCCTCTATTCTTTCCCACATTACAATCTTTGATAGATTGATAGATTAGGTACAAATGAATTCTTGGTGAAATTCTGACTTGTAATGCCTTCTCAACAAGCTTCATAAATAGTTATGTTTATTGAAATCAAGCTTTTTGAGTCCAATATTTTTGTTTGGAAGACTCAACAAAGGAAAACATATGGATAAAGGGACAACACAATCAGGAGGAGTTCCAAAAGCATCTACTACACCAACATTCAGCGCAGAATGAGATGTAATAATTCTACTGTTGTGCACAGCGAACAGACGGATACAACAACGAGAAGGAACTTTGTCCAGTCGATGGCTAGTTCTATTTTGACATTCTTCATATTAGTATTTGTACTATGGAACTCTAGTAGCCTCGCCACAATATTGGCCTACGTCGTCCGTTGGACTACCTTATAGGCTAGGTTTATGAGGGCATCGCGGTGCTCGGTGGCTTCCCAGGGAAGGATGGCTTCCATGGCGCGTTCCGCGTGAACTCGCGCAAGTTCCTTCGTCCGTTCGATCCCCCGGCTCTGCAAGACGAGCGCTCTCGATGTTTCCACGTCGCCGTCTTCTTTGAATTTGCGGTCCATCATCGCCTCGAGCTGCGGGTACTCCTCGGCGGCAAAGAGGACGGGCGCCGTCGACAGGCCCGCTTTCAGATCGGCCAGGGCCGGCTTGCCCATCGACTTGACGTCGCCCTCGAAGTCCAGGACGTCGTCGACCAGCTGAAACGCCATGCCCACGTGTTTGCCGTACTTGTACGCGGCAACCACCAGTTCCGGTGGGCATTCCGCGAGAAGTGCCGCCGACTTGCAGCTGTTTGCCATGAGACTCCCCGTCTTGTAGTAATTTTTCTTCAGGTAGTAGACCATGCGTTCGTTCTGGTCGCCCTCCGAACTCACCGTGCCGCGCATCTGCATGACCTCACCCCGAACCAGGTGTTCGATGATCGTGGACATGCACTCGACGACCTCTACGTGCCGCAACCGCGCCAGCGAGATAGAGGCTCTCGCCAGGAGGTAGTCGCCCGCCAGAATGGCCATCTTGTTGCCAAAGACCATGTGCACGGCGGAAACTCCCCGCCGCGTTTCCGATCCATCGATGACGTCGTCGTGAAAGAGCGAGGCCGTGTGGATCATTTCCGATATCTCTGCCAACCGGCGCTGGGCCCGTGGCAGATCCTGGCGCTGCCATTCAAGGGGCATGCTGAAGACCGTATTCGTTTGGTTGCCAAAGAGCGGCAGAGCGCTTTCGGTACTCTTGCCGTTTTCGGCATTCTGGGCAGCGGCGGCACCGCCAACGGTGTCCGCGAGCGCTCTCGAGAGGAGCATGACCATGAGCGGTCGGACCTTTTTTCCTCCGTCGGCATCCCCGAAAAAATAGGCTGCTGCTTGGTTCAGAACGGGATGATCTGTTCCCAGCAAATCCTCTCGGATGGATTCCGAAAGGCTGTCGACGTCTCCCTTGGATAGCTGAAAGGGATCGGCGTCCATTCGAACACCGGGTGGCAGATCGGGCCAGTATTGTGTGGTTTCTGTGTTGAGTAAGAGATCGTCAAGTTCGTCGTGGTGCCACGCCGATATTTGTTCGTCCACCGAACTGCCGCCGCCGTTCGGATGCTGGTGTTGGTGTAATTGATTTCCGTTTCCTTCCCCCAAGCCTTTATTGCCATTGCTGTAAGGTCCGGAAGTCCAGACCTTGCTTTCGTCCCTGGTAACTTTTTCTAGAATAGACGTCTTTACCGATTCCTGTACGGATTCCTTTACCGAATCCGGGAACAAATAATCGGCAATCGATGCGGACGACGAAGACTTGTGCCTCGCGGCGACAGGGTATATCCTGCGACTCGTCCGTTCCACCGAAGACGCCGGCGACGCAGACGGCAGTGCGATGGCAGAAACTCTCTTCAACGCCCGGGGGATTCGTCTCAGCCGAGATTGAGAGGCGAAGGAAAGCGTCGACATGATCGAGGTGCTAGTATACCCGAGAGAGGCGTTCCGACAGGCTTGAATTGCGAATGCAAATTACTGTATTTGGTATGTAGAAGTACTCTTTTATGTATTTGTTGCGTGATTCGTTTGGAATATTCTGATCTTGTCGTCTCCAGAGACAATCAATCTCGGTGACGGAGTTTTGGTTGGAACTGTTTGCCGCAAGTGCGCTATGGATTGCTTTTTCAACGAACCCAATGCACTTCCAATCTACGGTGTGATGAATCGATTCTCGGCAGCAATGCAATTTGGGCCAGAGATTCAAAAATCTGTACTACAGCAAAGGAACGACGCTCTTGTACTTCGAAAGCACACCACACCAGCTTTTCCTTTCTTCGGATTGGAGCTTTCCCGTCACTTTTTCTTGCTTATGTGGTCATCATTCTTCCGCACGGCGCGCCAGCAAGATCCCCGGGATTACAGACAAAGGGGGGAGAGAAAAAAAAACTTGCTTGCTTCGCCGTAGCGTACAAGTACAAGTACGAGTACCGTAGTGGCCGACCGTCACATTTTACATTTTGTGTTTTCTTCCGCATTCAATGTCTCTTTCGATTGGAGGACTCCGCGCGATCGGCGAATTCAATAAGTCGAACGAGTCAAAATCGTGCTCGCCGGTCAATAAAAAATCTCGGACAGGGTTTTGAATTTTTTGCAACCGAACAGAACCCGTCTGTCGTCGACATCCATCAAAACCCAACAGAGCAAAACGATCCTCAAACGAGAACTCTTGTCGGCTGACATCCCCGACGAACAACAACACGAAAGACAAACATCAAGCAAGAGAACCCGCAGCAACCATGTCGGCCCCAAGCAAACGATCCGTGAAATTTATGGAGTCCTCGAGCGACCAACCCCCGCCCAAATGGAGCCGTCCGATGGGAAGCAACAGCAACAGCGGCAGCGGCGAAGCCCCCCGAAACAGAAACCCCCCGGGCGTGCTGCGGCCATCCTCCCACAGAGTCCACGCCGGGAACCACCGCGGCCGGAACCAGCGGGGCAACGAGGACGAGCTGGACGACATCGACGACTGGAACGAGCAAGAGGACGGAGACCACGGAATCGGGGACCAAGGGCTCCCGACCCAGTCCCAGCTGATCGAGGTAAAGCGGCGCCGGCGGGAGCAGCGGGGAGAACGGATCGCCGCGTTCGACGGTGACCATCCCGACGAGGCCGAGGCCAGCCTCGCTACGGAAGGGGTCAGGATCGAGCCCTTTCACATGAGGGAGGAAGAGACGGACGGGACGGGGTACTTTGACGGGGACACCTACGTCTTTCGGCGAAACGTCCCGGCCGGGGACGGGGAGGCCGATGCCTGGGCGGACACGCTGATGCGCGACGGGGACGACGACGGAGACGGGCCGGCCATTGGGATTGCCACAAGCGTTCGGGACTTGTCGTCGTCGTCGTCGTCGTCAGCGGCAACGTCCGCGCAGGAGGACCTCGACGGCTTGTCGAAGGAGCAACTGTACGAACGCATCGTCCCCCTGCTGGGAGATGCCAGGGAGTCGATCATGCAGGCGATCCAGCGGTACGGGAGGCTCGCCAAGACCAAAAACGGCAAGAAGCACCGGAGGAACCACCACCACCACCAGCAACAACAGAAGCAACCGCAAGAGGCGGAGAGCGGCAACAACGACAACGGCAGGGCCACCGACGTGGCAAAATCGCACCTGGACGACCTGACCGGGGTAGCAAACGCCCTGTTGCTGAAAGGAGAGGTCAATATCTACGACGCATCGCGGCACGACATATTCCGCAGGTTTCCCTCCTTGTCGACGCAGCCGGGATCGAAGCCAGACAGTGGTGGGCCGGCGGCACCGCTGTCCAAGAACGTAAAATGGGAGTACCAGGGAAACGAGGACAAGCAGTTGCACGTGGTGACCACGGAACAAATGATAGCATGGGTGCAGTCCGGGTACTTTGTGGGAGCCCAGAGAGTGAGAATCAGGACGATCGCCGTGCAAGGAGAAGGGAACGCATCAAAACCCGAATCGGCCGAACCATCCTTGTCGACCCAGGACGACATGCTTGCAGATCTCATGGACGACGACAGCGAGGACGAAGAAGATAGCCGACCCGCCAAGAAGGCCAGGGAGACCGGGTCCACCACGACTGTCAAGGGAGAGTGGATGTGGTCCGACGAGGTGGATTACAAAAAGTATATGTTGTAGTAGTTGTTGCCGGGAGTGCAAGCACTGCCGTGCGACAGAAAACACAAATGGGAGATCACTAAAGCAACACAACGCGACGCCACACCAAAGACCCATTTTGTGKCTTTCACCACCATACGTAGACTTGTTGTATCGTGGTTGCATCGCACCACTCTCTGCCCTGCAACAAATCACCAACGGCCTGTTTTGTCCCGTCCGGAACCCGTCCCTTCCCTGCGGTATCCGGCAAGGGAACACCGAGGTCCAAGAGTGGACCGCAGCGGATCGACTCCAGCCACGGCCCTCTGCTTCCGGTCACCGTGCAAAGGCCGACCCAAACCCGGCCATTGGTGGTCGCGGCAGGCCAGGGGCACGGTGGCTGCCGGAAACGAACCCACCACCAACGCAGGAAGAAAACAACGGCGGGCCATACCAGGTCTCGTGCCCTTGACATCCAAGGCAAATCGTTTTGTACAGAGCGGGCCTCAGCCTCAGCAGCAGATATCCGGGTGGATACCAACGGGGAGAATATCATGTGTCTTTGACTTGGCCACTTGCGCAACGTGCGATACAAAGAAGCACAACTCCCGTTTTGAAACGACCTTACTTCAGTGAACAGTAGTACGTACCTACAGTAATATCTGAAGAGGAATATTAAATAATGTACATGCCCGAGTAGAAGTATCGTACCGTACGAGTACCCCATTTTTGCAACCGATATTGCAAAACGTTCAAAATTGGTGCGTAGGCAATAGTACGCTTACTAGACCCACTCTATTTACCACCGTACTCACATGTTCTACATATTTTGTGGTAGGGATTCTACTGTGCAACCGTATTAGCTCTTCCGTTTTGGTTGCATCCGTACCTATTTTGGTTGCAAGAA